AGAAGAATGAAAAGAAGAATGAAAAGAAGAATGAGAAGAATGAAAGAAAGAATGAGAAGAATGAAAAAAGAATGAAATGAAAAGAAGAATGAAAAGAAGAAAGAAAAGAAGAAGAATGAAAAAAGAAGAAGAATGAAAAGAAGAAATGAAAAGAAGAAAAAGAATGAAATGAAGAAGAAGAAGAATGAAAGAAGAATGAAGAAGAATGAAAAGAAGTATGAAGAAGAAAAGAAAAGAAGAAGAAGAATGCAAGAATGAAAGACGACGAATGAAAAGAAGAATGAAAAGAAGAAGAAGAATGAAAAGAAGAAGAATGACCACGAATGGAGCCAAAAGATTCGTCTTCTTCTTCTTTTTTCATTCTTCTTTCATTCTTCTTCTTCTTCTTTTCATTCTTCTTTTCTTCTTCTCATTCTTCTTTTCATTCTTCTCATTCTGCTTCTCATTTCTATCATTTCATTCTTCTTTTCATTCTTCTTTTTTCATTCTTCTGTTCATTCTTCTCATTCTTCTTTTCATTCTTCTTCAATTCTTCTCTTTTCATGTCTCTTCTACATTCTTCTTTTCATTCTTCTCTTCTTTCATTCTTCTTTTGCATTCTTCTCATTCTTCTTTTCATTCTTCTTTCATTCTTCTCATTCTTCTTTTCATAAAGAAGAAAAGAAGAATGAGAAGCTAATATTCGGATTCGCCGCGAATCGAATTTTTCCTGAAATTCGAAACGAATTCCACTTTGCCTGGTTCGATTCGCTCATCTCTAGTCACATTCACTGTGATGACATCAGCAAAGGATGATATCCATGCTTAGCAACTGATAGCTGCAGTCTACAGCACCTTCACTGTTTGCCTTTGTCCCTTAAAAATTACACATCCATACGAAAGAGCATATTTACATATATCATCCTTGTTTACATATAGAACATTGTTGTTATATTATAATACATTACTGAATTAATATGTCTGCACCACTAAAGTGTGATATAATGCTCTCGCTGTCCAGTTTCAAGGTTATTTCAATCTATGAATCACAAATGTGAGTATAAGTGCAATGCCTAATTGAATTGTGGGACTTTGTGCTGCGACTGAGCTGCACTCTGCAGTGTCTCCCAGACCATGTTGATACAGTTGGCTGTAGGTAATAGGATTACAGCTGGATTATGGCTTGCAGACTTTATAGAGGTGCCAAGAGCTAGAAGGCAGCCCATGACTGGTTAATGGACTCTTAATTTGGTGCCAATTTCATTTTATACCACCACCTGCAACGTGTGAACGGATTAGATCTTGTTTTAATGTACTGATCCTTTCGTGCCAGATACCAAAGCAGATCCGATTGATTAAGCAGTTCATGGCTGCCTGTAAGTGGTCATCTTGTAAAGTGATGTAATGCAATGAAAAATCCACAGAGATCAGAATAAAAAAAAAAAATAGGATTTATACTTTGCTATTTGCTTTAAAAGAGATGGATGGTGTTTTTAAAGTTTTATAATTATACATTCCGATATTATCTGCTCAGAGGAAACCTATACTGAGTGGGCATGAGCAAAATGCAGTTTTCACTTTGCTGAAATTCTGGTGAAAAATTAGGACATTTTAGTAAAACTTGGCTTTTTTTTGTCAAAATGTATCTGCCAACACAGAAGCGGAAATTAAGGTGTGTTTTAAAGTGCTTGTAAAACCCTGAAATAAAAAAATGAACAAAGCATATCCTTCTATAGTGTGTACTTAACTCAATCCAAACCACTAGCTTCTCTCATTTCTCTATCTGAATCAGTCACTTCTGATATTCTATATCGACATCAGACAATCCCAGGAGACGGCCCTGCCCTTTCCTACAGCACACATCAGGTGATTGATAGCCTCAGTTGTAAATGTTTCCCTATGAGACTGTGTAGAGGGGGGTGTGTCCTTACCCTCCAATCAGGTCTCTGATTCCCCTCTGCTCTCTACTCTATGCTGTGAAGTGTGTGACATCAACCCCCCCCCCCCCTTCTGAAGCTCAGAAATGCTGTGTAAATTCTGGACTTTAAACTGATGTAGAGCAGAGAGGGCTCAGATAGGCAGGCACAACCTATGTAGGAGGATTTGTTTCATCTCTGTGTACTGTGTGCGTTTACTTATTGTAACAGAACCGACCCCAGACAGCGCTTGGGTACTTCCGTTAGACTACCGCTTCCCCGTCCGAACACCGACAACAGACACCACAGCTGACCATACAAGACTAGATGACACCAATCTTGAAGTAAACCAGAAGGTGGACTACTTTATTTGAACACAGATACAAGATATATACACTCAGGGGGCAAAGGGGCAATCCCCCCTCCCTGCATAATGACACAGGACAGGGCAATCTACATTAAGTAACAAGAGACACACAGGTATTCAAACTTCACACCAGCAGACAGTTCCATCAGGAAGAAGGGCTGCTGGAGACACCCCCCCCCCACACACACTAAGCTAGTACACATAAACACATACATCCCATAATAGTTTGCTCCCAAGCAAGACAAACAATAGAACAATGGGATGCAGCCACACAACACCAAACAATCCACAACCCCCACCCCACCTATCTCCTGTACATGTTTACACAATATTAGGACAGATCACCCTGCACCCCTAACAGGCACAGGGTGACTTACACATAAGAGGGATATGGGGAGCAGAGACAGGTGTCTCTCCACCTTTCCAAAGTGAGCTTGGTTCCATGGGCCCCCCACCCAAAGTGACTCCAGTCACACTTATAATGGCTGTGTTTTGTCAAGAGTAATGCCTGCTGAAGTGGAAATGGCGAGTTAAAACTAGTGTGCCGCAAAGAGACACAAGCATGCTAGTCTGAACTGTCCTATTCAGCATTAAAGCGCTAGTAAAGTCAGCTTTATAAATATTACCTACAGGTGAGCTTATAACAAAGCTTACCTGTAGGTAAAATGAATATCTCCTAAACGTGCCCCGTTTATGAGATATGCGCTCTTTCGGCACCCAGTGACGTCATGGACACACGCTCTGAAGGAAGTGACATCAACGCGGCTCGGCCATTCAAGCTGCTGGAGCCCATGAACCTGGAAGGAAGACCGGGTAAAGATGGAATGGTGACAACACACCATTGGAGGGCTTTGTACTAAGGTAAGTATTTCATAATGAGCTAGTATGCGATGCATGCTCTCACATTTAGCCATTGCCTTGCAGGGGATTTGTTTTTTTTATATGTCGCAGTTTACTGCCACTTTAAGATAAACAACAGATGCTGACAATTTAGATGCATTTTTTTTTTGCTGCAGCCTCCTGCGTGTGTGAACTCAGGCTAGGTTCACATCTATGCGTATCAGGAACATGCATAAAATCGCATACTTTCCCAACACACAGAAACAAACTGCATAGTGCTACAGTACCATGCGGTTCTGGGGGGTACGATTTTGTAAAAAGCAAACTTGGCAAACTTTACTATCTGTTCTGAACAAACCAAAGTCTGCTAGCTCCTTCCTAAGGCTTGGTTCACATCTGTGCAGTTGCATAGTGCGTGTAGGGCAATCCATTAATTTCAACAGGCTGCCCTACCTGCAGAAACATCATTGTCTTTTCCATGACCGAATGAAGAAGCATGTAGATATGGACTAATTACTATTGTATTTATGTTTATATTCATATTTTAGTTTTGATTTTATTCACATTGACTAAGCAGCGCTTACACAGTCAATTCTAGTTTTTAGGCAGATGTTGTATATGTGTACAGTAAGTACAGGTCAATATATATCTGTACAACCTCGAATTAAACACAGAATCATAGCATGTATCCAGTACAGAAAACACATGACTAATGCATACAGTAAATAACTGTAAGCTATACACAAAAACAAGCTTTTTAAGTGCATGTCGTTTACAACAAAGGGAAATTATACACTTTGGTAAACAAATATTATAGATATAATTTCTGTATGAGGCATATTTAACCACTTGCCCTCCAGAGGATTTACCCCCCTTCCTGACCAGGCCATTTTTTGTGTTACAGCGATGCGTTACTTTATCTGACAATTGCGCTGTTGCACCCCCAAATGAAATTGACTGTCAGGGCTCCCGGTAAGACCAGAGATGCGTGAACTGACACAGGGAAACGCAGGCTCAAGTATGGTGTAACAATATATTTATTAAGGGTTATACACAAATATAACGCACAATATAACAAAACCAAACCTCCAACTGATAACGGAATGTACACAGATAAGAGCAGTCAGGGCTGGTAAGGTGGAGTGGTCAGGCGGGCCGGGTCAGGAATCATCGGGCAGACAAGACACAAAGGAGTAGGCAGAGCGTAGTCAGACGGGCCGGGTCAGGAAGAATCAGGCAGACAAGGTACCAAAGGAGCAGGCTGGAGAGTGGTCAGGAATAGCCAAAGTCAGGACAGGCGGAGTTCATTCAGGATCAGGATCAAAGCAGAATCAGGAATCAGGCAGGAAGCAGACAGGATGCAGGTACAGGGGCTCATGGGAAACATACACCAAGGCACTGACTGCAGGTCTGGCCATTCCTTAAATACACCTCCTGCAATCAGCCTCAGGTGATGGCCGACTGCAGGAGTGAGCATCTGGTTGCTGAGAGCACCCGCTGGCCAGCCCTGGTACTGCAGCCCACAAGGCAGGTGAGTCCCACCACCATTGGCAAGTCCATTCCTGACATTGACGTACTTTTTTTCCCACAAATTTAGCTTTCTTTCAGCGGTACTTGATCACCTGTGCGTCTTTTATTTTTTGCGCTATAAAAAAAAAGACCGACAATTTTGCGGAAATTTTTTTTTTTTTACTTTTTGCTATTAAACATATCCAGTAAAACAAATCTAATTTCCTCATAAATGTAGGCCAAAATGTATTCTGCGACATGTCTTTGCTAAAAAAAAAATCCCAATACGTGTAAATGAATTGGTGAAAGTTGTAGCGATTACAAATGGCGGTATATATACTGTGATTTTTACAAATTTTTTTACTAGTAATGGCGGCAATTAGCGACTTATAGTAGGACTGAAGCGGGCATTCTGACACTGGGGGGAACTGACTTGGTGTCACTGACATCCCCAGTGACACCAAAACAGTGATCAGTGCTAATAAAAAGCACTGACACTGTACTAATGGCACTGGGCAGGAAGGGGTTAACATGTGGGGCAATCAAAGGGTTAATTGTGTGCTGTGTTTGTACTTTCAACTGTAAGCACACTGCTTTGCATGGCTCTGCTATACAGAGCCATGCAAAGCACTGTGCAGGAGCTGACAGAGGAGATAACTGTATTGTTTACATACAGTTCTCTCCCTCCATCGGTAATGCTCCGCAATCACCAGGAGCCGGCGAGTAATCACCGGCCGGGACCCGGTGATTGACAGCCACGGCCGCACCCCCTACCCGGAAATGCAAAATCACGTATATATATATATATATATATATATATGTGTGATTTTCGCACCCCTGTCGCCCTGTAGCAGTATATCTATATATAGGGTGGCGGGAAAGTGGTTAAGGGATTTATTGTTATTTAAAGTGTATGTATGTCTCTCTGTATTCAGTTTTCTAATTTAAATTGTTTTTTTTTTTTTTTTTTTTGCAAAGTTGCTTACCTAAGGACTCTGCCAGTAACAGAACTTCCCGTTTCAGGCTAACAATGATAAACCACCATCATGTGATTAGCAGCAAAGCAATGTTGTTGGGCTGCCATGTGCATGGCTACAGCTGCCCTTTGTACTACCTATCACAGCTGTCAGACTGGCATCCTAGTGGCTAACTGAAGGAGCTCACATGGCAGGCTGACAACCCTGCTGTAACTTGTGAGTCAGCGGCTTAGCATTGTCAGCCTGTAACAGGAAGTGCAGTAACTGATAGGATCTCCAGGTAAAAAACTTACAACAGATGGACAAAAAATGATTTGCTTAAAGCTCAACTCCATGCAGATGAAAAAAATACATAAATGAATGCAGCCCTGTAATCTTGATTACATCATTAAATATGGTTTTTAAATTCAAGCAGTGTAAGTACTGGAATTTAACCAGGTATCAGGTTTTTGCAGTCCCTGTACAGCAGGGCTGGAGTGTAAGCGGGAGAAGCAGCACAAAGAAACAATCAGTTAATACTGTATGCTGACAAGAAGTATGGTAATAGAAGGAGAAAGCAAAGAGATAAGAGATGAGCTAATCACTGTGCTGCTTCTTCTTTCATTGTCCAGTCACAGGATAGGGGCGGGTACACGATCTGGGCTCAGAGGAAATGGGCTGAATGATTCTGGCCATCCAACAGCAACAAATATTGCAGGTGAAATCCCTGGCTTGAAGGTGAATGTTGCAGCAAAAGCTTTATTTCTATATTAAGGCGGCTTAATTATTTTTATTTTGTTTTTTTTTTATGGAGTTTAGCTTTAATAAAAATGTGTACATTGAGGCATGATGTCAAACATACTGAAAACTAGATTTAGGGCTCATGTACACGGGGCATTTGAAAAACTTTTCTGACCGCTGGAAAATGACTTCTAGAAAACGTAACTTAAGAACGTCAGTTTAGCCACGTTTACCTATGTTTCTGCGTGTTTATGCACGTTTGCATTTAGAAGCGGTTTTAAAAGATAACCTCAGGAGACCCTCCCAAATGCCCAGAATGCACTGAAAAATAGTAAAGAATTAACTATTTCAGACATTTTGTGAGAAATAGAGAGAGCAGAATCAAGGAGAGCAGAATGATTTGAGATGACCTGTCTTTTCTGGTTGTATTCACTATGGATCCCATCATGAGCATAATGCGGCACGTTCTACCATTTTTTCCTTCACGCGAATCCTGGAACTGACTACACTGGTGTACTAGGCCCATTTGAATACATGGAAAACGCTTTACATGCATTTTTGATGAAGAAAAAAGGCTCTGGACAGCATCTGGACATGGACAAGCCCAAAAACGCATCTAAACGCAAACGCGCATAAACACGTTTACACGCATTTACAAGTGCCTGGCGTTTGAAGCTCTACTAAACGCGATTTTTGTGCTTTCAAAAAAATGCCTGTAACCTCAACTGCCTGTAAACGACTATATGTACATGGACACATAGGAAAACATTAGGGAGAGTTCAGGGGCTGCTGGGAAAAAACGCAGAAAAGCTCCTGAACGTGAGTTTATCAGCTGTAGTGTACATGAGCCCTTAGTGTTTACATACACTGTAAAACTACCTATAGAAAGCATAGTTGATGCAGCTTAGAAGATAGTAAAATGCAGGTTAACTCCACCTGTGAATGAACTGTGAGTGATCTCAAGTGCATCTGATCTCAAATGCAGACTGAATGCATCAGAAAGCAAGCTGCATTATTCAGTGACACAAGTTCAAAGTCATCCAGTGATCTACAGGAAACACTGCAACCATGCTAAAATTAGAGTCCACTCAGGATGCAGCGGGATCATGTTCATCAGTATGATTGTAGTGAATGCTCCCCTGTCTTTATCAGGGATGTCTGCTGACAAATCACAGAATAATCAGTCCATTGACAATCATGCACATGAGCTTGATGCTGACTACACAGAGAAAAAGCAGTTGCCTTTAGCGCTCTCTAGTGTCTGTTTTGGGGTGCTGCAAGATATAGGTGAGTGCTTGCATTTCCACACTGATTCAGACAGCTACACGTGTTTGTAAAGCTGACCTAAGCCATTTGTTTTACTGTCGTTTGACAGATGTTAAAAAGAAATACATATTTTGCAGTTGTATAAATCCAGATCATAATGTTTATACCATTTTTCTGTTATAAACTATATATATAGTGATGTCAATTTTATCACTTCAGTTCAAATCTAAGGGCCCCATCCAGGGGCGGACTGACAAATCGTGGGGCCCCCGGGCAATAGGAATCATGGGGCTCCTGTGTCCTTGCCCAAACTCAAAAAAGCCTATGAAAGGTACCAGGGGCATCTCATGGGGCCCCCTACTGATCCCGGGCCGTGCCCGAGTTTCCAAATGGTCAGTCCGCCCCTGGCCCCATCTCACATTCATACATACACATACTAGGGCCAATTTAGACAGGAGCCAATTAACTTGCCATCATGTCTTTGCAGTGTGGGAGGAAACAAGAGTACACAAGGGACACCCAGGCAAGCACGGGGAGAAGTTGGAGACTCTATGCAGTGTCCCGATAAATCTTTTTAAATTCTGTCCTTTATGCTGGTTTTATTGCAACTTTTTGTCAATGTGTCCATTTTTTCACATTTATTTTTCACATCCTTCAGTTTTGTATTGAGCTTTATTAGGGGGTTTAAAAAATAAAACACATTGTAACAAAAATGCAATTCCTAGAGACATGTTCTGTCCATATTCTTATGCTAATGTAATATGGGAAAAGACAAAAGGGGGGATTTACTAAAACTGGAGCCCTCCAATCTAGTGCAGCCAATCAGCTTCTAACTTCAGTTTGCTCAATTAAGCTTTGACAATAAAACCATTGGTTTCTATGCACAGCTGCACCAGATTTTGCACTCTCAAAGTTTTAGTAAATCTCCCCCATATGTAAAACTATCATGACACTCAGGACCTCATACAACAAAAGCTTTTACAATATGTAAACCGTCTAACAATATTGGAGTTGCCTAGTCTATTCATTCTTCCCATGTAAAAAGATACCAAATTTACAGTTGCATGAAATTCTGTTCCCTCCCAGTTGCCCTTTGACTGGGTCTTGATGCTGGGAGACAAGACGGACTTCTCAATCACACGGATACTGTGATCACAGAGGTCCCATAATGGGGAGCCCATTCTGCTGACTCTCAATCACAGTTATTGTGCAGGGAGCACCCTCTCAGCACAGAACCTTCAACCACCATGGGCATTAAGTCTCTCCCTCCCTGCTGCTGCACGTATGCGTTAAAGCAGAGTTCCAGCTGAAAAAAGAAATAAAAGTCAGCAGCTACAAAACCTGTAGCTGCTGACTTTTAAAATACAGACACTTACCTGTCCCTTGGTCCAGCGGTATCCTCAACACCACTGGTTTCACTGGCCATCTTCTCTCCCTGGCATCTTCAGTGTGGGCACCCAGCTGTGGCAGCTTACGGCTTCACAGCTGGGTGCCCACTGCGCATGCACAAGTAGCGCTGCGCTTTGTGGATGGCCCTGTAGTCTTCTGGGACCTGCCATGTGTTCCAGAAGACTACGGGGAGGGGGGGGACAACTTCTGCTTCCGATTGAAACTGCAGTGGGAGCAGGTACCTGTCAAATTTGGGTACCTGCTCCCCAAAGGTGCCAATCCTTAATGGGGAGTGGGGGACAAAGGCTTAAAATGCAACTTCCCCTTTTGGGTGGAGCTCTGCTTTAAGTGGTCAGCAAAACGTTAACATGTGATCAGGGGCGGACTGACTATTTGGAAACTCGGGCACTGCCCGAGGGCCCGGGGTCAGTAGGGGGTCCCATGAGATGCCCCTGGTACCTTTTTCATAGACTTTTTTGAGTTTGGGCAAGGACACAGGGGCCCCATAATCCCCTATTGCCCGGGGCCCCATGAGTTGTCAGTCTGCCCCTGCATGTGATCAATTGTAAGCTTTTGCTGCCACATAATAGCATAATATTCACTTTGCTCTCTCTCATGCACCACTCCATTTAACCAGGAGCAAAGAGAACTCCTGGTTTGGAGCTTATACAGGACTGGGAACTCTCTGCTTCACCTGCAGCACACATGCAGTGCAGAAGAACCTGATTGGGTCCTAGTGCTGGCCTTACCTTTTTACAGTCTGAGTGCTGCTATGGAGTATTATAGGCAGCAGATATAAAGACAAATTCAAGTACCTTTACTAGTTACATTTAAACATGCATTTGAACCTGATTTCCTGGCAAATTTTACATAGTTACATTGGACCAGCTTGGATCAGTGTGAGTATGTATGTGCTACACCTGTTGGGTCCCTGTGGAAGTTGTAAATCGCCAATACTACAATGTACAGGATTGCTGCTAGCTGCCAGGTCTTGTGCTGAACGACTGACTGCTGCTTAGTAATATAGGAGCAGGGGCGGACTGACCATTTGGAAACTCGGGCACTGCCCGAGGGCCCAGGGTTAGTAGGGGGCCCCATGAGATGCCCCTGGTACCTTTTTCATAGGCTTTTTTGAGTTTGGGCAAGGACACAGGGGCCCCATGATCCTCTATTGCCCGGGGGCCCCGTGAGTTGTCAGTCCGCCCTGTATAGGAGGTTACCTGCTTGGCATGGCTGCCGTTCATAGAACAATTTCCTTCTTTCTTGATGCAAAGTGTTCTCTGAATGGACATAGTGGGGACTGTGACATCACCAACCCACCTCTCCACCTCTTTCAGTCAGAGAATGCTTTGCTTTTATTGAGCAATGCAAAGTGCTTCCAGAATGGTGTCCATGCTCCTGTGACCTCCTGTGTTTTACAATGCAATAGATCACTGTGG